GATCCCCTATGATTTTCCATATTCTTCTTTGACTCTGTTAGACGCAGTGTTTTTTCCTCGATGTCTTGCTACATGTCGTTCGCGTTCGTATGCGGACTTCGGTCTTCTCCGATGTGGCATGTGGTCTTTAATTCTTTGGATTACGGTATTTTCAGTTTCTCCTATATGGTATTTCCCAAATTCGCCAAAAAGTGTGCAAATCCAGCGTAACGAGTTACTCAATAAAATCTGAAGAATATTTGAGCTGTTACACACAACATCAACATTGTATCTAGTGCTGATCAGACATTGCTGAACATCAAATTTATAATAAAATCTTTGACCTTGCCGGTCCCAAGAACGCATGACAAACGAGTAAGATTGAAATCTGTGGCGAAGTCTTCGTAAAGCATGGCCATCCGCCCCTCATAATATTGCCATCATCCAAAATAATACCCACTCGGTCGTCAGCCGCGTTGCCAAGAGTCGCGCAGAGTGCGAGAAGCCGGCGATCATAACCTGCTCATCGCCTTCTGGCAGACGCTGGCGTAACAGCACAAAAACATTTGCGCTAAATCGACGAAACATGACGAAAATACCAGTCAGTAGCGGAGTTGCTACCCGTTCTGAACGGGGGAGGCAGACAGCGCAATGCCATTACATCACGTCTGTAAAGGTTCCACGAGACCGCCACCGCCAGTTGGATCCTACAGTAGGAAATTGGAATATATCTTCAGTCAGAGGGAAAAGCAAGAGCGAGTTGATGAGGCCATAAAGTACCAACTCAACGCTGTTGGACTCTCGTCAACAAAATGTTAAGGTCCTGGAATCCTGAAGCTCTACGGCTGGAGGATATTTCACTCAGACGTCAACATCATGACGCGCACTCAGGCGGGCGTTAGTGTCTTAATGGACCCCAACCTGACTGACTGAATCATTGAATGGAACCTTATCAGCGGAAGGGAGGCAATCCTCCGACTGAAGCTACAACAGACTAAAGCGTTGACCTTGTTAAAGGTCTATGCACCCAATTTCGAGGGGAAACATAATTCTTTCTTAGAGGAAGTGGAGCGTGCTCTGTATGAAGTGCTAAATACAGAGTCCCTCATACACGTGAGCGATTTTAATGTGCATGTCGGAGTAGACGCTGAAATGTGGAACTGCGTGATTGGAAAGAACGGCCATAGTGACCTCAACAATAACGACATGAAGTTACTGCGGTCTTCTGCAAACAACGGACTGCACATTATGAACTTCGTCCTCGAGCATCAAAAGTGCATCAGTATGCCTGGTACAGGGCAGCTCGTAAAAGTCGATGATCGATTTTATAATCGCGTCGTTTCTGTTACAACGCTCTGTAATGGATGTTCGCGTTAAGAGAGACGTGACTTGTCAGCCGACCACCATATTGTTGTTGGCAAACTAACTGAGAAATGGAACATCTGTCGACGATGTAGTAGCAGAAGCAACCAGAAAATCAAATGAGAAACATCATGAACGGAGGATACGAATGCGAAACTTGCAAACAACATCGCATGACGGTTTCAACAGATCCGAAGGTGATCACAGATGCAGAAACCGAATGGAAGCTGTGTAAGAGCAGCATCATCCAGGCTGCTATTAAATGCTGCACATTCAAACGGGTTGGCCTGCTGCCTGGAGGTCAGCAAAGCGCTTCCTGATGGACAGGAGAATTACAACTCGCAGTTAAAGAGAAGACTGCATTAAAGAAATGCCTTAGAAACAAAGAGCCTTCAACTCGCGTGCGATATGTCGAAGCACACAAGGCGGCAGCAAAAACAGTGGCGAAAGTCGAAGTTGATTCTTGAGGGACGTTCGGTGAGGTGTTGGAATCGAATTTCCACACGTAAACAAAGTATTTCGGCAGACCATTCCCCGGCTCTGAGGTGACAAGAAAGGCACTCCAAGAATCTTGAAGGACAGGTACGAACACGCTCCCAGCGACGACTAGGATATTCTACGGCGATGGAGAGAGTACCGCAGGAAAGCTCGCCTATAGAGCAGCAGGGAACGCATATTACTGTTTCCGTAAATGAAATTACACAGGCTGTGAAAAGCTTGAACAATGGAAATGCTACTGGAATTGATGAAATCCGCCCTGAAATAAGTATAAGCGAACAAGGCATGTGCTGGCTATCACGTGTCTGTCAAACTGCAATAACTGCGGGAAAGACACCAGCGGACTGGAGAACGGGAGTTATTGTACTCGTATTCAAGAAGAGAGACCACAAGGAATGCTCCAATTATAGGGTCATAACGTTATTGAGCCTCCCAGGTAAAGTCTACTCAAAGGTGTTAGAAAGGAGGTGTCGTGAAATAGTTGACCTCAAGATCCAAAAAGAGCAGTGTGGCTTCCGGCCCGGTCGAAGCACCTGTGACCATAAATTTGCCCTGCGCCAGATTGTTGACAAATCGTGGGAGTACGCCCATCCGGTGTACATGTTTTGTTGAACTATAAAAATGTAATGACCGGATCCCACGCAACAGTCTATGGTCATGTCTTCCAGCATACGGGACAGATGGCCAGCTGCTAAGGGCCATTCAGTTATTGTATTCTGATAGCAAGTGCTGCGTTAAAGTAAATGGCGTTAAGTTAAAATCACTCAAAGTTCGCATTGGTCGCCGCCAAAGCTGCGTCCTGTCCCGTCTCCTGTTTATGTTGTACATGGATAGAATAGTCAAGAGCATCCAAGGCGATGAGTGTGTTGCTGTAGGAGATATGAAATCGAGAAGATTGCTCTATGCGGGACGATCTTGTTTTATTGGCATCTTCTGAAACTGATCGCCAGTGCTCCCTAGAAAGGTTCGCAGCCGAGTCCGACGAGACCAGCATACGTGTGAAGTCTTCTGAAACGAAAAGACTAGTGCTTCCTCGTTCTCCTGCCCGCTGCTCTCTTCAGATTAACGGAGAGGAAGTGGAGCAAGTGGAGAAGTTCAAATACCTCGGAACTGTATTTACTAGTGATGGAAAATTGGTGGAAGAGATCGACCGGCGAACTGGAGTAGCCAGGGGATTTCTGCGTGAACAAGCCCGGTCTTTAGGTTAAAGCAGAGCTTAGTCTGAAGACTAAACTCTCTGCATTCAAGTTGATGTTCGTCCCCATACTTACCTACGATCATGAGTCGTGGACTATGACTGAAAATCTTCGTTCTCGAGTAGTGGCTGTTGAAATGGGCTTTCCGTGACGAGTCTCTGGCCTTAAGCCTTTTGTCTTCGTTCGGAATATAGTCATCTTGTAATGCCTTGATGTACAGCCGCTGCTTCTGCAGATTGAGAAGTCTGAGCTGAGATAGTTAAGGCATGTTGCGAATGTCTCCAGAAAGGAAGGAGATGCAACTTCATCTTGTCCAGTCCACCAGAAGGACCAGAGGACGGCCAAAATTACCCTGATGCAAATATATGGAAAGAATCTGCTCTAGTTGCCTTTTGCCAAAGTTCAAACTCTGGCACAAGATCGGGCATGTTTGAGAAACTCTGAGGTGTTTGCTTGTACGAATCGAAAGGAAAAGCGGTTATGGAAGATAAAGTAATATGAGATGCTATGAAAGTGTTTGAAATTCAAGTGGAGTACCCATTTTGCCCGCGGAAGTACTTGATGATCATCTGCCAGGAAACTTTTCAGAAAATATTGCTGATCAGCAGTGAGAGTTCAGTTTCTCCCTGAGCGATTGCGAAACCTTTGCGGTTTTAGCTTTCACTGCATGTGCTGTTGTTTTGGTGTACCAAATACGTAGCAAATATTTGTCAGGAAGCTTCGGCAAGTAAGCCTTCTTCCTTTCTTTGATTCTAGATTTAACTTGCGGTTAATACGGAATGTCTTAAACTGCTTCTGGAACATAAAGATGAGACCAGAAAACTTATGGCTGCCTGAAGCAGTTGTACTTCCGTCTCCTTCTTCCAGGCTAGTCTGGTTGTCCAATTACACTTCGCTGACACCGTTCGCTTAATGATTATCTCGTTCTATCGTCTTCCATAGTTTCTCATTTCATTCAATAAACATATCTTGATTTACCGGTTTTGATGTGTAATGAATTTTGAAAGACTCATTTAACAGAAAAGCAGTTGATCTATAGAAATCTCAGCCATTTATTTTATTGGGACATCCCGGAATATCTTATTACACAGGGCAGGCTATTATGTCATTTCTAAACCACTCACTGACCACTGTCTCGAAGTATCCCGGCGCCAGGTGTACTCACAGAGAACATGATGCGGAATGTATCCTACATACACGCCGTTTTCATGGTTGCAGTCCAATAATTCGGGTTAGAACTGTTGCCGTTGTTTCCTAGTACAGCTTTCCATCTTTGAGCTCAGTCGGTGTATGTCGAAAGTTTCAATCAAAATTATAGTTTCCGTATCAGCAACCATTTTCAAGCAGCATCTTCGGTCAGCAAGAAAGATCATCAATATCATCATAAAAATTATTTCTACGGAAAATTTGACAGATTAAAAGTAAACAGCTGAATTTATTAGATGGGAACCAAGTTTGAAGTGAATACGAGATTCGGGGAAATTGCTTTATAAAGTGCCAATGCAGTTACGGACCAGTTTCGCAGAAATAAACGCTTTATCCAGCAGAAAGAAATCAGATGGGCGTATTGGCTTAGCAGTAAAGATAAAGTGTCCGTCGTTTGTCGTGCGAGCTAAACACAACTTTTAAAACCATTTATAAATATGGAATTTAGCTAGTATATACTGCTAGCAAATTAGCAGGCACAGCGACAGAACATCAGATCTGTACGACATAAACAATAACACTCATTCCAGATTACTGACAATATCAACTGTCGTATCAATAAGAGCAAGGAAACAGAATTAACGCATAACTCCTTAGGAGCCGTAGGAGTAAGGAAACAGAATTAACACAAAACTCCTCCAAGACCAATAAAAGAACAAGGAAACAGAATTATGGATAAATCTGATGAAAAACGGTCTTCCCAACAAACATGAAACGAAACTACAATCACTGGGTAGAAACAGGTAGTGCAAGCGACGACTATTTGGAAGAAAACGCACTGGTTACCGACGACATGAAACCTTTCAGTAATCCAGGATTTTGAAAACTTTCCTTGACCCTGACATTTGCAGACAGGACATCTAAATATTGCTCGTAAAGCCTTTCCCTGTCGTCCAATAGCTCTTTGATCGACTTGGTGTACTCCTCGAACTGGTTAGAAACGGCAAGAAATCGATTCTTAGCTTCCATGTATTCTTTCTGAAAATCAGCCATGTTCATTTTCAGTTTGTACAAGGATTTTTCCATTTCCTGTATACTATTCACTACGTGAAGACCGTCTCCAGCCAGTAAAACAGATACTTCATACTTAACGTCGTTAATCCAGTTATCGCCATAAATGCAAAATATGTGCTTGCCAGGCTGCAAGTTTACACTTGGACCTTGTTCCAGACCGTCTAACAAATGAAACTCGATTGGAACATCCTGCTCGGCTTCGTTAAAGAATTTTAGCGCCGAAAATTCCGACAACCTTAACAGGGCCGATGAAATGAAGTACATTTCAGCTGACGTGCAATGCTTCTTTCGTGTCGCCTGCTTTCGGCGAAACGATTCTTGAATCTGTCGAACGTCGCCTTCTTTGTCAAACAGAATGATTTTGAACTTGCTTTCCGAATGTGAACGGCACACGAGTACTATTCCGTTGTCGCAGTCTGACTGTGTCAAACTAAAATAAAGAAACTGGTGAAAGTAAATACGCCCAAACAAAACAAAGTTCAACAAAAACAATTCAGGATATGTCTTATTGGATTCAATTTTTTCGCATTCAGTGATCAGTTATATCGTAAGCATAAACGTATTTTAATGCGAGATTCCATTGCTCTTGATGATTTGTTTATGAAACATTTGAAACAACTAGCATTCACAATGGGGAACAGATATATCCAACTTGTTTCAAAGAGTATGTAGATTATACTTTGCGTTCTGAAAAAATGGGAACAAAAAATCTTTTGGAACATCTAAACAGTCTGTTCTCAATAGCCATCTTGTTCTCTGTGGAAAAAGAGGGAAATGGCAGTCTACCGTTCCTGGATGTACTTGTGAAACTCCAGTAGCAGGAATATTTGTATCGCAAGACAAACAAATTGATATCTGTACTACTTTTCGTACGATCCAAAAAATATAAAGAAAGGTGTCGTTCCCTAAAGAGGCCGGAAAATTGCGTAACGGAAGGTGATTTTCACAAAGAACTAAATCATGTAAAGATGACTTTGCAAGAAAAGATTATCCGCTGAAGATGCCAAATGAAGGTCTGGCAAACCTATCAAGACCATCCATCTCGCGCCTGCTTAACCAGGCTTAAGATCTACATACATCACCTTACCATATGCTGGAACACAGAGTGAAAAGCCCCAATGTACTGCGTCGCAAGATGGTCTGAACTTTGCATTCAAATCCCCTTGGTCACCTGAAGATCAAGAGACAAGAGGAGCATGCAAAACCCTCGAGCACAAAAGTAATCTGATTAGATGGAAGAACGCTGATACGAGAGAAAAGGGTTTTAAGCAAGTAGTAGTTTAAATTTTATATATACGGCAAAGACTGATCATCAAGGATGGCGAGCGTATACGACCAGAACTAAGGAAGCATTCAGGAAGAAAACAAAACTTTGCGCCCAGTAAAGTCAAAAGCCTATGTGACATCTCCGGGACGTTGAATACGTGACGCATGAAAGACGCCCCCGGTGGCGGAAATGCACAGGTATCATAAAAAACAGACTGGCTAAAGAGGCACGTCAAGGAATAATCTACGACAAGATCCTGCAGCAACTTCAACAGGAACAAAGAATACGAACTAAGCCTGGATCGAATATCGTCGCTCCTGTTGCTTAGAAGCTACTACTTAACCGACTGCATGGAGAGAAAGTTAGTGTATCGGCTCCAAATGTAGATCCAACAATCACCAAATTTTGTTGACATACCTTGAAGCCCGGTGATGTATGACAGTAAGTATATTACAGGTTAAAGTATTACACATCCAACACGATTGAATCTGTAAAAGCTGTATAAACAAAATACCTCAGAAACGTCAAGATAAGTTAGAACCCTACCAAGAGTACACAGGCTAATTTGTCAACGAGTTAAGGCATAACAACGACCTTGAAATTTGCATTTTATAACAGTTCAAAAAGGTCGATCCAAATCTGACCAGAACTAATGGCCACCAGGCAATCCACTGCACATAGGCCTTTAGTTAACAGCAAACTACAAGTGACTCCATTCAAAAATCATCAACAACTACGGCCTAAGGACGCGATGTTGCTCCAAGCAAATCTTCTGCATAAGAAGG